CGACGCCATACACGCTGTCTGCCATCTGCCCTGTACAGTGAAAACCGGGATTCATCCATGAGGAGAACACCTCTCCAAAGTGCCAGACGGCATCGAATGTGAGCATTTGCCCACTCAAGTCGGTTACGACGACGAACTGCAGTCAGGTCGAGACCCCGATGAGGATGACAAGCATGCAGATGTGCTTCCCTGAGACGGTTTCTGACAGTTTGTGCAGGCGTTCTTTGGTTATGCAAACCGATTGTTGCAGCAGCTGTGGCTAGCAGATGATCTTGGAGGTGAAGATGCTGGATGTGGAGGTCCTGGGCTGGTGTGGTTACACGTGGTCTGCGGTTGTGAGGCCGGTTGGATGTACTTACAACATGGCTGTACCTTTGGAGATGGCTTATGGTAGAGAAATGAACATTCATTTCAGGAGCAACAGCTCTGGTGGACATTCCTGCAGTCAGCATGCCAATTGCACGCTCCCTCAAAACTTGCGACATCTGTGGCATTGTGCCGTGTGATAAAACTGCACATTTTAAAGTGGCCTTTTATTGTGGCAGCCTAAGGCACACCTGTGCAATAATCATGCTGTCTAATCAGCATCTTGATATGCCACACCTGTGAGGTGGATGGATTATCTCGGCAAAGGAGAAGTGCTCACTAACACAGATTTAGACAGATTTGTGAACAATATTTGAAAGAAATAGGCCTTTTGTGTAGAAAAAGTCTTCGTTCTTTGAGTTCAGCTCATGAAAAATGGGGGCAAAAACAAAAGTGTTGCGTTTATAATTTTGTTCAGTGTAATTAACAACCTCAGAGCTCACAATTGGTCTGTGTTTAAAGGTTTATCAGTTATTGTTAAAAATTGAAAGCAGAAAAAAAAGTTTAATTAAAAAAAAAAAAAAAGTTTGCTCTTCGTAGAGTGCTCACACAAATACGGGAATGTTTAAAAGCAGCCACCTATCAGCCCGGTACTGGGTTGACCCTGTACAACCTAAACTGCTGGTATCGTTACAATTTAAAAATGTAGGTATCGACTTGATAACAAAGTACCAGTACTTTTGACAACACTACTTGCCACAGCTGCTTTATAGCTGAATTTTGTATGTGCATCATTTTTGAAGTTTGTATCATTGATTCTGTCTCTTTCCTGTTTAATACTGTGAATCTGCTTTGAAACAATCTCCAATGTACAAAGTGCTAACTATTTGGAGAAATTAAATTATAGACAAAAAAATTTTTTTTTAAACATAGCTACAAACATTTGGTACACCTTTAGCATAAACTAAAGTGAGCCTTCTGTGAAGCATAATTTGTCAAACTTCTCCCATTTTATTTCAGCATGAATGTTTCATCGGTTATATTTCATGATCAAAACATGGTAGCATTTTAGAAGAACTTACGGGAAGAACCCCAGGCATTCTCTCTCCATTCTTCACCCAGCAACATTCCTTTACGTGCATCTTTTGCCAATTCATCCGATTCCCACAATTTTTTTGCAGGAAGAAGCTGCAAAAAAAGGTCAACGTGGCAATCACTTTTTGCAAAGTATATGCATACAAACAACAGGAAAAAACTAGGGGAGTTAACATACGTTAAAGTATTATAGGGAACTCAACACTTGTGATACTAGTCAAAAAGGATGCAATAGGATTATTAGACTCGGAATCATAATAGCATGGCTTTTCAAAGACTCTAATAACATACCTCACCCATTCCACGAGACTCCAGAGCCAAGGCTTGAAAATCATAATTCATCTCATCCACAGTGCGCACCTACACAAAGAGACATTTGACACTTTTTCCAGCTTTGCACACTACACACATATACATACACACACATTATATATATATATATATAGAAAGCACGCAGGTGATGGAGATTTACCGCTGATTACAGAACCGGCTTTCTGACAAGATGCGCGTTAAATATCGCATGCGATTAATCGTGCAGCCCTAATATATTTATATATTGTTTTCAAGCACCAAAACAATACTGCTTTCAATTGTTTTTTTCATACATTAGAATGTGTCCTGTTTAATTTAATTTTTTTTTCTGAGCAAAAAATGACTATCATACATTTTTTGTCATGATTTACAGAAATATTCAGTGTAACAATAGTTCATATACCAAAAAATCTTATCAGGCAAGAATTCAAAAGATGTCAAAAAAGACTGTTTAAGGATCAGAGTAGTGTTTACATTCCTTTGTACTAGGGTTAGGCTGAGGTCTTTCTTACCTGGTCAACATGGTTTCCATCACCAGTGGGCCAGCGGTGTTTGCTTGCAGTGCAGCCACCCAACTGCTCCCCAGGTTGCCTTTGAAAAAAATAGCCCACAGTGGCATCATCTTGGGAACGACCGCTCAGTGGAGGTTGAGGGGTGCCGGGACTGGGATTTGCCACCCGGTCCATCCCTGGCAGAGGGTGAGCTCCTCCAGGTCCCTGCCCAGCACCACCCACTGAGGCTAGTGAAGCCCCCACAAGGACTCTGACCCCTCCGGTCTCTGGCACACCATTTGTGTGCAGCATCCCGCCTCGCGTCTCCTGCCAGGCCACGTCATTCATACCTAAGATGCTGCATGGAATGCTCATTCCACGGGAAAACCTACAGAAAAACGTGCTGTTTTAAGTTCCAGTTAAGTTAAATGCCATTTAAAAAGTTTATTTGCCTCCATGGGATTGATTAATGATTAATGTTCATTTTATTCAACAATAATTGACTAAATTGTATAATATTAATGTATGTGTGTGTGGTTCACAAATATAACTAAGCTATGCAAACAAATACAGACAAATAGAACTACATAAATTGTCAAAGAGAACAAAGCCACAGAATAATTTCTTATCTTCAAAAATGTGTCCAATAACAAAACCTTGCTTACTCAGTTTTTTAAACGCAGGATCATTTAAACCCATACGATTTTAGACAAAGTAAATGCGTTTCAATAAAGGCCTAAAATCACGCGTTTCTATGTGAATGTTTTGGGTGTACATGGATAGCAGAATGCTAACGGCTAACACACAAACGACGGACAGCGGTGAATGTGGGATTTATATTAGATGTAAAATAATGCTATTTTGCATTGGATGCTTCGAGCTCACAACTAACGTAAATCCTTAAATATTTGATCTCAGTTTGGTTTCTATTTGATCGTCTGTCTGTTGTTTGTTAGCATCGCAGGGCCCGTCACTCTGCCAGCTAGCACCTCGCTAACAGTCAGCGCAAGAGAGGGCTTGTTTTAAAACAAAACCTGATTTATTTATATTTAAAATTCAATAGCGTCATTTAACTGATATGCGACATTGCAACTGAATAGCAAATCCAAATGTGTACTAAAAAATTCCTGCAAGTCTGACTTCAAATGTGTTTGTTTCTGCTAATGCGCGAGACGCTTTGGTGATAAAACAACACACAGGCCTCTCGCCTCTAAAAGTTCGTTTTACAACGAATGAATCATTTACAAATAACCCTTTACAAATAATTATACATCTCTACACGTCGACCTCACTGTTATGAACCCAACGACGAGAATATTTCACAAGAATCCATTTATAAAGCCCCGTTTCTTTTGGCTGATAAACTCACAACATGGCCCCCCGCTTAAGCCCCTAAACAAAAGGGGCAACAATTGACGTTCGCGCTCCTATATATCCATTACATCTGGTCAAACATACTCACGTGTGATGTGTGATGATGTTCAAGCCCGATGCTTCGAGGCTATGATGGACGCGGTGTTGTGTATAAGTTTAGTATCCGTGGAGATAGGGTGTGTGTGTGTTTTAATGATTAGGTGTTGGAGGCGCTTGTGTAGGAGTTTGGGAGGATTGGTGCCCTCCTCCCCCGTGCATACACTCTCAAACACACACCGCATCCAACATCAGACCTGCACACTAAAATTTCAGATGATCACATTTATATTCACCGATCTTTACGCAAACCACCGTTTTCAATGTTTTCAATTTGTATGATGTTTAATACATTGCCACAGGTTTGCTAAGTTTCTTAAAGTGTTTTATGTTATATAAATATAAGAGTGCTCATGTAACTTTAAAGTGCAAAAAAAATTAATCTTTTTTTTTTAAAGCAGACCTTACATTTCTTTCCTAAATAAATCTAAAATGTAGCCACAATTAAGCGGCCATCATCGGGGTCAAGCACGAACGCCAGCCGTCCCGTTTCAAACAATAGAGTAGGCCTATTTAAATGTCTTTCTATGGAAGTATTATTTTATGTACTATATTACAATAGACAAATAATATTGTCTCTTCATTTTAACTGGACCGCAAATTCAGTCATGCCTGACTTGACAAATGTTTTCTGAATTTATTTAGGATATATAAATATGAAGGTACTTTGGAGATCACAGATTAGACTTAGATTGTTTTAGCCATTATTAAACTTTATGAAACTATAATGAATTGTATGCATAGTTAATCTATTGAACCATTTACACAGATTGTAAAACTGTATGATCTAAAAGAATTAGTTGTTTTGTGCCTCTCTCTGGTGGACAATGTTAGTATTACGCCTTCATCTCTCATTTCCATTGATATAAATGACTGACATTTTCTAAATTGCTGTTAGCACCCAGGACGTCAGAAGTTTATGAAGGTTGAAATGTTTACTGGTTGGCAGGAGTACACTTAAAGGCAGCAATATGTAGGCTACTACAATAAAAAGAGGCATCTTTTTATTTTAACTGGACAGCAATAAATAAAGTCATGCCATGCAGCTTGACAAATGAGACGGCAGCGTGGCTGTTTGATTGACGATCGCGCTGTGCTTATTCCATTCATTCATGTATCATATACAGGTGCATCTCAATAAATTAGAATGTCGTGCAAAAGTTCATTTATTTCAGTAATTCAACTCAAATTGTGAAACTCGTGTATTAAATAAATTCAATGCACACAGACTGAAGTAGTTTAAGTCTTTGGTTCTTTTAATTGGGATGATTTTGGCTCACATTTCACGAAAACCCTCCAATTCACTATCTCAACAAATTAGAATACTTCATAAGACCAATAAAAAAAACATTTTTAGTGAATTGTTGGCCTTCTGGAAAGTATGTTAATTTACTGTGCATGTACTCAATACTTGGTTGGGCCTCCTTTTGCATGAATTACTGCATCAGTGCGGCGTGGCATGGAGACAATCAGCCTGTGGCACTGCTGAGGTGGTATAGAAACCCAGGTTGC